TGCGGTGCGGGGACGATGCGGGGGCGGGGTTGCGGGGCCGGTGGCGGGCCTGCGGGGTTAGGCGGCGGGGTACCTGGGGCGGGGCGGCGGCGGGGGGCGTCCGGCGGTGGCGGGGTTGGATGGCCCCCGCGGCGGGGGTCCAGGGGCCGCAGCCTCACACCGGATTTGCCCCCGGGGATCCCCGCTCGACAATGCTGGTTGCTAGGGGTGCTGATGAGTGCAGACACCGCTAACACCTTCGGGGAGGCTCCATCTATTGGTGAGGAGCAGCACCTGCTGGAAATCGGGTCCAGCGTCCCTATTTACAATATGAAAACATGGAAATCATGGAGACAGGCCACGTGGCCATCCCAACCAAAACCGCTCCTGTATATGTCTATCATCTGTGCAGAGGCATTGATTGCTCCCCCATACCAGAGGAGGATTAACTTGCTGCGTCATTAACCCTAATATGTCACTATATGCATTCTAGACAGGGAACAACCTCCCGCAAAGTAATCTCTAAGCAGCCCACGTCTAATCCGCGGGGCGACCAGCCCCTCATTGCTGATCGATGTTGTGGGCCGAGCAACCTCGATCATCATCATCTATCCAACCCCTATCCTAAGCCTAACCCCGAAGAGGAACTGCCTGTCAAAGTTGGAGAGGGGAGAAAACTCCGCTCCCATCACACTGTCATCGTTGTTGTTATTACCATTGTTGTTATTATTGACCTCATGACTAGTATCGAGGGGGGGGGAGGGAGGGGGGGAGATAGCAAACCCTTTTCCCAAACCAATCGCAATCTCCCCTACGTCCATTTGCGACTTGTCTGTCAACACCCCGCCGCTTCCATAGACGCCGGTATCGTCATCGATGCCTTTACCATTAATATTGTTGTTCTTGTTGACTTTGTTGTTGTTATTGACGTTGTTGTTGATGTTGTCGTTGACGTTGTTGTTATTGTTGTTGTTGTACCCGCCGTTGTTGTTGCCGCTGTCACAATCTTCTTCGTCGTTGATGTCGATGTTGTCGTTGTCGTTGTTGTTGTTGTTGTTGTTGTTGTTGTTGTTGTTGTACCCACCGTTGTTGCCGTCGCTGTCACAATCTTCTTCGCAGGCCTCCAAACCTCCCTTCCACCCGTTGTCCTTGTCACCGTTAACGCCCGCCTCGCCCATCTCACCACTTTTTTGCCTGTCCTCCAGCTGATCGCACAGGTCACACCCTAATCGAAAGAGGGATTTGCAAGCGCACTCCCTGCCCTCTACTCTCCTCCAGTCAATGTAGTCATCAAGCCGGGGATCCGGCCCCTCCTCCAACTCCCATATGATGTGTAACATCTCCTGAGTCCTGTCCGCCAGCCACCGCTCCATCAAGATCTCCCCCCCTTCCTGTCGCTGCAACGTAAGCGCGTCAACTATCATCTGCAGCCGCTTGTGTCCCTCCTCCACTATGCCAATCCAGTCCTCCGCATAACATCGTAACTCCCCCACCGAGTCCATCTCTCCCTCCATCAACGTTGATAGAGCCGCTCGGTCTTCTTCGTTGGCGACGCCTCTGGACCTGCTAATACGCAACTTCGTTTCTCCCTTCTCTGATGATACTCCCTGTTTGCGCGTCATTCGTTGAAGCTGTCCCCATTTGCGAAGCTACCCAGCTCGAGATCTTCTGCATGTAGTCGCGAGTAACACCCAAGGGGTGTTCCAGCCGCCCGCTGTGCGCTTCACTGTGCGCCGGGCCGACTATGGCGATGGCGAAGCCGTAAGGGATGGCAATTGGGGCGACAGGGTCCTGATCACTGATGTGCCCCTCCTGAGGCCCTCAGGCGGAAGGCTCCCCCCAACCATGTGTTTGTGACAGAGGGGGTTCAGTGGGGTACGCGGGCACCAGTGCCGACTCTGTTTGAGCCAGGGGATGGAGGGATGGAAGGGGCCTCCATCGTCATTGGCGTTTGGTCTGCCACCTAGGATGGCCTATTCTTATATGAATCAGCCACCCCTCTTCTCCTATTGCCCTTTGACCCAACAGAATGGGAATGGAGAGAGCGTCCTGGTCATGGACAACATCAAAAAGGGATATAGGATGAGCCGCAAGCACGTCCCGGTCATGGACAGCATTTTAAGGAGATGGGAGAGGGACTCCCCTCTTACAATACAGGACCTTCAAGACCTCAAATGGTCCTCCTATGCGAACATCAAACCGACAAACCATAGAGCCTTACAGTGGCAGATCATTCACAGATGCTTGCCGACGCCGGATTGGTTAACTGCCAAGACGGACCTAGAGGAGAAGGGGGCGCTCTCCCCTATATGCTCATATTGTACCCGCTCCTACCCCGGGAAGAGGGCTACCCTCGAGCACTGTTTGCTCGAATGCCCGATGGTCCCCCAGCTATGGGGTTCGTGGGATGCTGCTTGGCACTACCTCACGGACGAGCATCTGCCTTCGGACACCCGCTCCCTACCTTTAGGGGACCTCTCCCAGGTCGGAAACGCATGGACACCTTTCATGTCTAATCTTTTCTCCTACACCAGGCTGATAGTCCTCATGCAGGCCTGGAGGATGCGATGGTCGTTCCAAAGGGACCAACACACGTTCGGATTCATGCAGGCACGAATGGCAATAATAGATACCATTACAGCCAAGACTCAGCAAGCCCACAAAGAACTGCGGGAAATGCTAAAGACAGAACTTGAGGCAACCAAAAGAAAGGAACTGACAGATAACTTCATCCTAACATGGACTGACAAACGAAACAGGCTGTGTAGCCTGGACCACAATGCCTCCCTGTTGTGGCAACCTTGGCCAACAACTGAGTGCCAATGGGAACGCCTGCTGCAATCTCACTTTCGAGTGGACTATCAACCGGCGAACTTCGTCCTCATACCCACTTGAATTCTAGATGATCCAATCTTCCTGGCCTCCTACCCCCTCCTGTCCTCCCATGAGCCCCTCTGAGTTACCACGACCACGCCACTGCATCCACCGCCACACTCACAACTCCCGCCTTACACTACCCCTTCCCACCCCTCCCTGCGCTGGTCGAGGATAACTGACACACCAAGAGGATTGGCAGAGCTCAAATGAAAGGGAAGCCATCAGCAAGAGAGTGGGAGCAGGGCTACTTGGGAGACAGAGTGGTGTTTGAACTTCTTCAAAGGAGAGGCTAATGGAGCGGGGAGAGCCCTTGTCATAAGAGTGGACCCCTGGTCAGGATCAACAAAGACTGCACACAAGCTTCGGCTCTTCGGGTGGATCATCCACTAAACGAAGGGCGGGGCTGGGGGAATGGTTGGTTGGTTGGCCCTGTCACAGGGTCTCCACAAGATCAGGTTCGACAATGTCTGTACACCGCCTCAGCCCATCCGGGGCATTATCCAGCAATCGAAGGGAGGGGGTCGGGGAATGGGTGGCTGGCTTACCTGCTGGTCTTTTCTAGTCTCCAGTGGGTAAGCAGGTTGGCTGCAGGAAAACACAATAAGTGTCACTCCAAACATGTTCACGGTCCTGCGGCGCACTGCTATTCACAATCACAGTTAAACCTAATCATGCACAACTTCAACAACAGTAACAGCAAGGTGGGCCTGTCGCCTGCAGTCCAATGTCTAGGGACACAACTAGCCACATTGTCACCCTGTATAATCACAGCTACATCTAGGCTTTCCTTCTACATAAACAAGGCTACATCTATTCTCACACCTGTCACAACAACAACCACAGCCACCTACTATCATTGGATGGTCAACTGCAAGGGCACTTCGGACAGCTGCACAGTCACCCACATTGTTTAGATGTGTGTTAGACTGTCAACAACATTGTCAACTCATGCTGCACTTCTAGAGGAAATCTCTAGGTGGGCACTACACTACATAGACACAGCAGCATATGGCTACGACAAGAATGGTAAGATAGATGGTACTTAAATAACTAAAAGTGTTGATAAAGCGCTGGGTTATTCACACCCCAGTCCATCATGAATACGAACAAGCCACATTCAGGTTACCTCTGCTTCACTCATTGTATAATACAGGGACGCTGGACCCGATTTCCAGCAGGTGCTGCTCCCCACCAATAGATGGAGCCTCCCCGACGCTGCTAGTGGTGTCTGCTTTTACCAGCACCCCTAGCAGACGATCGGAGAAGAGGTTAGGGGCTAGGGGTCACACAGAGAGAGAGCGAGCGAGCGAGCGAGAGAGAGAGAGAGAGAGAGAGAGAGAGAGAGAGAGAGAGAGAGAGAGAGAGAGAGAGAGAGAGAGAGAGAGAGAGAGAGAGAAAGAGAGAAGAAATGAGGCGCCATTTGAGCCTGGCAAAGGGTACTGCTAGCTAGTGGCTGGTGCAAGGGTCCCACTTGCACAGATTTTCATTTCTGGTCCTCTCCCCCCAACAAAGAGAGAAAAAAACAAGAAAAGAAGATTACGGTGATCTATGGCCCGGAACACAGAATCCTTGTAAGTGGCTGTAGTTTTAATGCCTCACTCCACCACTCACCAAAGCAGAGTTGTGGTTAGTTCCATGGTGGCTCCACCATCTCACCATGGCTGTCCCTTTCAGACGGCCAATTTTCACGGCTGTCCCTGTCAGACGGCCAATTTTTCCGGTGGTTAGACGGCTGTGGTGAGTACTCCACCACATTCACTGTTTTCACGCCTCCAAGAGCAGGGGTGTAGTGCCACCTCCAGCACACCAACCATTTACAATCCTCGTGCCTCCTTTCCGCACAGGATTGGCTGCATTGGCTGGTATGCTTTCCAACCTCTGAACTCCGCCAGTATACCAGCCATCCCTTGCGGAAAGGAGGCACAGGGATTGGTTGGTGTTGCTGGAATTGCGGAGGCAAACTTGCCCGACAAGGCAAGTCTTTCAAATAGGGTAACAGAAACCTTGTGAAGTGCCTGAAATTGCTCCAGCGGTGGGGTCCCTTTTCGCTTGCCCATTCCCGTAGGCTACGTGCTGGCGGATCCTTTCCTGGCCGTCAGCTACCGTCAGCCAGTGGGGTCCGACCCTTAGTTTGAAGGGGTAACTTCAGTAGAGTCACAAAAATGAGCTAGAATTACACTATGGGGCAAGATACAGTTTGCAATTGCACTTCGGGCACCCTACCTGGCCAGAAAGCTGGGTTGCATACATTGCCCGAACTGCAATCCGAAAATGTATCTTGCCCCGTAGTGCAATTATAACTCATTTTTGTGACTCCCGCAGAGTTTCCCCTTGTTTGAAATACTCATAGGGGAGACTGTGTGGTAGGATCAGACAGGATCACCAAAACGAAATCAGTGCGGCAAGAACATGCATGTCAGTCTCTCCGGTATTACAAATGAAGCTGGAGCCCTTGAACCCCACATCGCCCACTTCCAAGACAATGAGACTCACCCACAGCGCCCCCCAGACATGTAAAAGACAAAACCCAATGATCATGGATTTAGCACAAAATGTGAGGCTTTACTCTCGTGGAGGACAGATGCGCTGATACAAAAACGCCTGGAAAGCGCGAACGCACTCCCGCATCATCGCCCTTCTGCCTCGTCCACTCAGGCAATGAACTGATCTCCGTAACGACTTACATACCCTTCTCTCCCAGCTCTCCTGCAATCCCAATGTCCACACGTCCTACGTCATCCTCCTTCCTCAGAGGCTCAGACCCCTGTAGATCGCTCTGTCCGTTGAGACTTGGGTTAACACAGATCCGTTCCCCATCGTTCGACTTTTTTTTTTTTTTTTTTTTCAAACTTCAGATCAGAGGGTCACTTATCAAGGTGACAACTCTAAGACTTCATTCCAGCACCGCCTGTGGCAGTTAGCGGATTTCCAATTTCGCGCCGGTTTGGATTGGGTGGGGAAGGAGAGGCAAGTAGTACTTGTCAATGACATTCTTAGTCTAGTAGTACTGCTACCTTCTTCCCCCCAATAGATGTACGGTCATTATAGCTGTATCTAACTGAAAGATGAGTTAAATACAGCTGCTATAATGACTGCTACTAGAGACCTTTCTATTGTTTTTTTTCAGCCTTTTGAAAATCTATCATATTTTGTTGAAAAACATCTTGTCTTTTTACCTGTTGCATTCGGGGGAAGGAGGTAGGTTCTCATGAGATTTCAGGCAGTCCTGTGTGGACTGAAGAGGCTGTTCTCTCTCATGTATCAGACTCTAAATTTTCAATCTTTCAGGAACACTGGCCCCGTTTTCCAGCAGGTGACACTCCCCCGCCAATATATTGGAGTAACCAGTGATGCAGCTACTAGGGGTAGGTGCTGCTCCTACCACCTATCCTAGCTGCTATAGTTGCTGGTTGTTGTCAAAAAATAAAAATAAAAAGAGAAAACTACGGCGCAGTCAGGGTTAGAGTTTGTAATTGCATTCGAAACTGCATTTTAGCAGTTTAGTCAGGGCCCGAGTTTCAATTGCGGTTTAGTCAGGACCCGAGTTTCAATTGCAGTTTAGTCAGGGCCCTAGTTTGTAATTGCATTTGAAACTCGGGCTTGCTTTTTCTAGCAGTTCAGTCAGGCACATGGCCGTTTCTTT